CCCCCCCCCCCCCCCCCCCCCCCGCTGCGAACTGCCTTGAAGCAATGAAGCAGCAACATTTTATGAATTAACAATATATATATATATATATATCTATTAAGTAATCTTCATTCACCTTGGATACTAAGCATTTGCCCAAGTTTCAAGGCTGCCCCTCGCACTTTACATAAAGTGTTAACAATTCTGGTGGCGTTTGCTTCAGTTAAAAACGGACTGCCTTCGTTACCAATATCTAAGGAGAAATTATAACGTCTAATACACAAACGTCTAAAAAATGTACCGCACAGGATAACAGGATAACAGTATACCAGTGCATTACCACTTAAAGGGTTAATATGACAGGAGGTGAATAGGGGCAAACAAATCCGCCGGTCCGCCCAAATGTGAAGCAAAATCCGCCGATCCGACAATGGTCTTGTCTTTGTCTTGTCTAAATTTGTATCCGCTAAAAGCTCTACTATGAAGTCACAATCCAGGATCCGAACTAAATTGCAAGCAAAGGCCACAATCTGAGCCAAAATATTTGATAAATCCGCAATCCGCTGTATCAGTAAGATCCGCAAATCCGCGTAAAATATTCTCAAGATCCAAATTGACTATATACTCAATTTTTAAATTTTTGACACACTTTTCAAGCGGAAAAAAACTTAAAAAGTATATTTAGTGCTTTAAACTAATAATACAAAATTGAAAAGACTTTAGATGGTACACCAATGAGAAAATGATGTCTGAAGTTCGGTAGTTAAGTTTTGCTTATATTCCTGACGTATTAAAATAATATGGCGTCAATGTTACAGCATCAATGATAATTGTCAACTGGCAGATTCATTTAAAATGGTTGCCATACTGTGTAAACTACAAAATTAAGCCAAAACAAATAATCGCCTCCTATAACCAAACTATCGGCCAGGGTCTGTTAACCCATTAAGCAGCACTGTTCCTGTATAATTGCGCCCCATTTTATTGGTGAATTACTGTATTTCGTCTAATTCCAGACGATTTTTGTTGGGTTGATGAGCATACTTGTTCAAAACGATCGGTGCCATTCTAGGTACAGTATGTATAGCAATGATAAAAAACAGCTGCAATGTGATGAAGGTTGGGACTATCAGAAAAATATATAAGCAGAACTGCAACGTTTTGAGCGAAAGCCCTTCGTCAGCAAGTAAAAAATATTGCTGTAGTATTAAGTAGGGAAAAAATTATCCTTATATGTACTATTTAAAAAAAGCCCGCCAGTCTTGCAACGAATGGGTTATATTGACTTGAACTCAAGTTGAGGAACACATTATTAAAAAAAAACACAAAAAAAACCTCCGCCAAAACCAAGCTGCCGTCTTGCCACCTCAGCCAAGGCACCCAAACCAAGACTTGCAGCCAATCCTATAGATGTATGAAACAAATGTATATTCTAAGATTACACACGTAAAAACGCACAAGTTGATACAGATCTACAAACAAGTTGTTACAAATCTGTTCACAAGCTGCCAACAAGTTGTCTTCGCACTGCTTGTTCCCAGTTGTTGCAACAAGTTCGGAACAAGCTGTTAACAACTTGTAACAAGCTTGATGGCATTATCAGACTTGTCACAAGGTTGTTCTAACAAGTCTGACACAGCCATGATAAACAAGAATGTTACAAGGTTGACGACGCAAGACTGTAACAATACTGCTATATCATCACTATGACAGTATCGAGCTTGATGGAACAACCTTGTAACAAGTCTGACAATACAAATTGTTAACAGCTTGTTCCAAACTTGCTGACAACTTGTGACAAGCAGTGCGAAGACAACTTGTTGACGGCTTGTTGACAAACTTGTTACAAGATGTGAGATTTTTGCGTGTGTAATTGGATTATTCAGAATATCCCTGGAGGGTCTGTGGTCACTTGAAAAGTTTGGCTTTGTCACCCTGTTCCCAAAAAGTTTTTTACCAAGGCAACCCGCGACTCACAAACTTTAGAACAGAATAATGGTGTCACATTCACCAAATGCAGTTGTAAATTATTTTTCTCAATAGCCGAATTCATGTTAGGGGCGGGAAACTCGTCTTAGACGGGAAACTTGTCTGTGAAAACCCGTCTGAATATGAATTTATTGACGGATAAATTCGAATTTAAGACGAGTTTCCCGTCTAGATGGGATTTCCGTCTAACTTTCCCGTCTGTTTAGACGGGTAAGTTAGACGGGAAAGTTCGGACGGGAAAGTTCGGACGGGAAACTCGTCTGCCCCCGGATTCGTATTAGACGAGTTTCCCGTCCCTATAATATGAATTCGGTTATTAGGGAAATACAAGACTGACATGTGTAGAAGTACCAACCTCCATAATTTGCCAATCGACTCACTCTTGTTGCTGGTACAGGTCTTTCTCTTGATCTTTTGCTTAGCTACAGTATGCGGTTTGAAGAAAAATATTTACACCATGATGTTAACCAGACTGCAGAGTCCGATGCACATACGAGAGTAAACATCAAAATGCAGTCTGTGTGTTTATTTGCATTTTACTACCAATTGTAAATTTGTATAGGTAATCGCATGATGGGGCGAGTAAAATTAAGGGATCATTTCACGCGTGGTTTCAAAGTTTCACAAATTGTGAATAATGTGAAATTTTGAAAACACAAGTGAAATTAAAACATAATTAATTTTACGAGGAACTATGCGCTTACTTGTTCTAAATCATTAATCATAGAGGGCAAAATTTATTCGTAACTAAATTGTGAACTTGTCAAGCTCTTGAACCTCGTATTTCTCCATGTCTTCGCCGATGTTCCTTAATGCCGCCGATTTCTTAAAAACTTCAACCCATAAATTTGTACTTTTCCAACCCATAAATTTGTACATAATACATGCATTGCGGGCGCTACGAAAATGAACCATGTATATTTGGCGACGATGTGTGATCGTATTTTCCTGTGAAATGAAAACGTTTAGGGGAGCTATTTGAGTTACACTCAGTCTGTTACTATCAATATATTTGTCAGGTTTAATTTTCGTCACACTATTTGGAGTTACAGTTCTCTGTTTTTACCACGAAGACAAATGAGTTGTTGTGGACATTACATACTAGTATATGAATACTTTACATATTCGTATCAGACCTAGGCCTGCCCTGGCTTCTTAGGTCAGTTCAAAATCAGCATTTCAATAAAAACATACGGCGGTATGTACACCATGTCATTTTTAGTTTTTATCGATTAGTTTTCTGGTCCAATTTTTTTAGTCTTCTCAGCTCTCATGTGGGGTTGCCCATATACAGTACATATACTGTAGTACAGTACAGTACCGTATATGTGGCAATGTATGATTTTCCGTACTACTAGACTGTAATATCGGTGCAAATTATGACCATGCATCTATGCTATCACCTTATAATTGGTTGTAAAGCATAGAATAACTACAGGACTGGTATACCCTGTAGTCTAATAATAGCAGTATCGTTAGCAGTATCATTAAGTGATTTTTGATTGGTAATTAGTATCGAATCCTCTAGCTTCAATTCCTTTGGTTTTGCAAAATATTTGCGATTCTAAATTTTAAGCATCAGATTCTGTATTTTGGTTGTTTCAAAATTTGTTATGCTGTTCAGTTGAAAGATGAACAAATTGTAGCTAATAATGGACATTCAATGAAATCAATGTAAATCATAATAAACTAAGTTTTTTGTGATTATTATATAATTTGTCATCATTTGTCAAGGGGCAGTAATTTGCCTACTGTACTTATGTACCGTACTGTACCAGAGGTATGGCGGTACTCCAACATCATAGAGAGGTTCAAATTCAGCAATTAAGGGACCATTAGCCAATCAAATGTGTTAGATATATATCCGATCAACTATCCAGTTTTTTTTTCAGGGATTTTTTAGGGCTGTAAAACGGCCCCAAAAACTCAATCTTGAATTGAGTTTTGAAACTCAATCTTCTCACCAAAGTTTCAGTGCAGTAAAAATGAAGTTATTTGAGTTAAATTTGTGACGGTGGAAATTAGTTTTCAGTTGGAAAACCAACAATTAAGAAAAAATGGCTGGAATTCATCTCACAACACAAGAAAAACTATGCATTCGCCATCTTTAACCAGTTTATAGTATCCCTTAGTGCCCCTGCTTTAACACATTGCATCTCAACTACATGTTGCACTGTAGGGGGGGTGCAGCCACCCCAGTTGTTCAGCTAAACTCAATCTTCTCTGCAAAAACGGACCCAAGAGAAAATCATGAAAAAAACCCTGTAATCAGATGTGAATTATGCCGGTGAGAGGTAGCAGTAGTGGAAGGCAAATCTGAATCTCACTGCAGATTGCAGTCTGGTAGTTCTTTATTTTCAACCATGTACCACATACAGTATAGGTATACACAGAAGGTGATATGTAAATCTAACATATAGATCTCGGCATTAACCCATTGAGTCGCATTGCACCCTGATACGCCCTACTTTATTATGATGTACTTAGGGCAACAAGAAAGGTTGTGCGGGCCCGGGCTCGCAATCGGGGCAAAAACGTTCCCAGGGGGGGTGCTATGAAGTCATAACTGTAAAACGGGAAAAGTGGTGTTTACAATACATTTATATACTTTAGGATTTCTATCTCAGTTAACCCATTAATTACGCACCAACGCGCTCCTGTAGACAAGGAAAATCGTCTGGCGTTAGACAGAGTCAATATGCCGTCAGGGCGCAATGCAACTCAGTAGGTTAACTAGACACATGAGCAGATAGGCTAGTTAACCCATTAAGCACCAGTGCTCCCTTAATTGACGAGTAAAATCGTCTGGCATTAGACGGAGTAAAATACTAATAATGTACGCAGCACATCAGGGACCAATGCAACTCAATGAGTTAAGCAATCTTGCATCAAGGATTTTTAAGGGCTTTCATTGCTTTCGGGGCCCTTTTGGAGCTGGGGCCCTAGACGTGTAATCCAAGTTAAATTAATTAATAACAGAACTACATACTTGGGGTTGACTAAATGTCCTTTTCTTGATATTTCTTTCATTGTAATTTTTTCTTGGAACTTTGCTTGACTTCATATCCACAGTCGAATCGGATGACAGTCTTCTGTTGCATATAACTGAGAAGATCGCTCCGCTATCGAACCAAAAAATGTGCTTGTCCCCATGTAAACACTGACCAACATTTTGGTTTTGCAAAGGCTTTCTACCAGCACAAATTCTTTGTGTTTTTCTGAGCGATCGCATGTTTAATCACGACGATTCCTTAACGATCGATGTTAAATAACATCATATGCCTTTACAGTTGAATGTTTTATAAGAAATATAGCAATATCATTGTTAAATTTCTATAATATTCACGAAATAAGTTGATATTTGGATGATGAATGTTGCATATTCGAAATGAGACCAAAACGTCATGTTACTACATCTAAACTGGACCATTTTAATTTGATATTGGACCTATTCCCCATGAACAAAATTTTGATCTAGACAAGCAGGGACGCCGGAAAGGGGGGGGGGGGCGAAGGGGGGCATCGACCCCCTTGCCCTTTAGTAAGGGGGCAGGGGGGGGGGCGAAAGTGGCCTTATAGATAAAATTATAACCCAAAAAATATGAGGTACAACGATTAAAAAGTATGAATTACGGGTGAAATGTACGTAATATTGAAATATACGTGAATTTTTCTGGAATATTGTGTCAAAAATTATGTTTTCAAAATTTGTTGCCCTTGTTTTGGTGAATTAAGGTCCCAGAAAAAATTTTCGGAAACGAAATTTTAATTAGTGATTGCCCTTACGTCAACATTGCCCCCTGTTCCCTACCATTGCTCCGGCGTCCCTGTAGACAAGTCTAGACAAAAATGTTATCACGGCTTGAAAGAGCATCACAAAATTAGTAATATTCCGAAGTTTCGTTGCGAAATGTTGTAAAATGCGGATAATATAGCCCTGCGAAGTTTGCCGTTTTTCAGTCATTTTGTATTGCACACGGGAAATTGATACCTTTTTTCAGAAAGTGGTATCAATTTCCCGTGCGTAATACAAAATGCGTCGACTGAAAAACGGCAAACTTCGCCAGGCTATATTATCCGCATTTTACAACATTTCGCAACGAAACTTCGGAATATTTACTAATTTTGTGATGCTCTTTCAGCTGTGGTGAAATGTTTGTCTAGACTTGTTTAGATCAAAATTTTGTTCATTAGGGAATAGGTCCATTATGATCATCGATCAATAATTACCAATCGAAGCCAATTAATCAATTGATGTCGATTGTCTTTTTGGACCATTATGACTTTATCGATAGTCACAAAAAACCTCCATTTCATCGGTCTCATCAATATTATCGATTGATAATGATCGATAATCAATCGATGAATGCTCACAATGATGCCGGTCATCGATTGGTCATCGATTTCTTGATTGCAATTGCAAGCTGGCCTGTTTCGTGGTTGGTTTTCCAAAAAATATCGTGGGGCAAGTTGCACTGAGACGTTACAAGTTACAAGTTGGGTTGAAAAACCGCGTCTCTCTCTTTACTGCGGTTGAATAACCACTTGCAAACACAATGTTGTAATTGCTCCTCTTTGTATACAAGCCTTTTTGTAACGGCTTCGATCAAGTACAATTATTGAAATTTCTGTAGCTGTATATCATTGCATGTTTGATGTTTTAAAGTAATTCCTGTTTACAAAAAATTACGTATTCATTATATGCGTAAATCGCTGCAGAGTATTCTTGTTATCGTATCTTTGTTGACATTGTTTGATCAATGTAGACAAAATTGAATTCACCCACTGTCGGCCTAAATATAGCACAGTAAAGTGACTAATGTTAAAAAAACACCGTGAACTTGGCTGCTCGAGTCGTCAATACAGGTTATCAATACGTCAGTAACACTTGTTACTTGTTACTTGATATTTAATACGAGCCCGAAGGCTTAGTAAAAGATACTATAGACGTGGTCATGTCACTTGCCCTGGCAGATATCGACATGGACATGGCACAAGAACTCGCCAAGTACAAAGAGGAGAATTTGAGATTAGTCGAAGAGAAAAATAACATTATGAGAGAGTTTAGTACGAGAATGAAAGCTCATCTTGAGGAAGTGAGACTTTTAAAAGAAGTCAACGCGCGTTTACAGACGGAACTTGACGACCTTCGTGACTTGTGCTGTTACCTCGATGACGACCGAATTAAATGTCGCAATCTGGCAAAAGAGTGGCAAAGTTTCGGTCGCTACATTTCGTCAATTTTACACACGAAAGAGAGCTGTTATCAGGAAGAAGTGAACTCGTTAAGCTTACAGAAAGAAAGCGTAATTGCCGAGAATATTAACCTCAAGAGGCTGTGCCATGAACTAGAAAATTGTTCGAGTGTTTCTAGTTCTACGCAGCCTAGAGAATACGTCTGCATACGTTGTTCGCAGCGTATCTCTCTAGAAAGGGGTTTGAACGGAGTCGTACGGCGAAATCCCAATGGCTTACGTACTGCGAGCATTATTAATCAAAAAGGTAACCCGCTATTAAATTAAACTCTTGAGTCTTGTCCTTAAACTCGAACTCATAACCAAATGCTTGAGCAATATATTTCTACGAATTAATGCTCGTGGTTGAATTCAACGTTTGTACTATTTGCTTAAATAATTATTAATTAAACTGTCATACACGAACCGCACACTTAAATGTTGTTTATAATTTTAGAAAATCCTAACAATGATGTTGAAAGCAGCTTGCCTTCTCCTAATGGAAGCCTTTTATCACAGGTACAATATAAAACCAGCCTGCCTACTGCTCATTTAGAAAATTGCTTTTTAATTGCGGTTTCCGGTGTCACGCCAACGCGAAAGTGCGATTTTTCCGGCTACAAAACGGTGTGTTTTAAGACGTTTTCATTACAAAACTCGGCTAAAACAGTACAACACAATGACATAGCTTGTTTTATAGCTACCGAATATAAGCATATCTTTCTTGTTTATAGTAAGCAAGTATGTAGGTTTATTGTACGGTTTGGCGCTGGTATGTGAAACATGTAAATATTCGTGAAGTAATTGTTTTTCTGTTGACTTTTACGCAGCAACCTGTCCGCTGGCAACTTAGCGCGAAAGCTTTTTAATCCATAGAAAAACTAAAAACAGAACTGTAATATATTGTTGTTAATTGACAACCTGACATGATATTGAATTCGTTGTCACAACCTGTGAGGAGACTGATTACTGACGCCGTGACGCGCACCATTATTTTGGCACGGTAGTATACTACGGGGTACCCTGGTTGCCAGAGGTTCTGTATCTTTCGCCTTATTCCCGCTCGTTTAATAAATATACGAGCGGGAATAAGGCGAAAGATACAGAACCTCTGGCAACCAGGGTAACTACAGGGCGTCTAAAAAAACGATCCTTTACAAATCATTCCTTTCTTGTAAACACCCAAACTTCATAACCCTCTGGGAGTTTAGAATGCATTGTAATCGTACGAGCATATTAAAACTGCGTAAATTAAAATTGTGCATAAAAATTGTAATTGAAAGTTAAAACGACCAGTTAGAAATTTGTCCCATCAGTTCGATTAAAAATGGTCCAATTGACTAAAGGGCAAACAGTCATTTACTGTTTTACGTGTTAAATTTACCAGCACATAATCATATAGAGCGTTTGGACTCATTCCCCAGGGATCAACTCAACAAAAGCCGGCATGGCGGCCATGTTGGTGTTCCAGACAAATTAGAGTCTACCCCTGTACATGGTGTACAAAAAAATGTACATCCTTTCAAATTAGCCATAACTGTTTTACTGAATATTTGTTGCTCTGCAGTATAAGCTGGCCCATTTTATATCTTATGCAGACTTGAATAATGCTTAATTTAAACACTTTTCTTTGAGTTCTGTATTTGTTCATACAAATGGAGGTTATATCCTAAATTCCCATGTGCAAAAGACCTTCTGTTTTCACGCATCATTAATTCGAGAAATTATACGGCTGTCAAATTACTACAATAGGTTACGGTTAATTTGAATTTGAAAGGGTGTACATTTTTTTATACACCCTGTACAACGTACCATTAAACAGCGACGCGCTGTTTACAGCGTATACCGTTAAATAGGGTGCACGGTAAAGGATATAGTTAACGTTTCATGAGTCGTGAATTCACAATATTTGTTCTCGTGAAATGGTGAACTTTTGTGTCGTGCGGAAACGTGATTTATATGCTAATATGCCAAGCCGTGAGCCGTTAATGCCGACAATGTTTGTCCGGGAAATGAGAAATTATTTGAGACCGGTACTAAGAATATAGCCTGCGCGCAGGCTAAGTAGAACAAAGATTGGACGAGTAGTGAGAAGTAAGAAAGTAAATGCCGATTTTCAATACACATGCAACTCTTGCCTAAAACTGTCGCATGTAAAACTGCTTACAACTTGAGTTAGTGTACTCTGTAAATCAAACACCTTACTCACCCACGTTGTCTTAGATGGCACCTTGGCATTTTTTAGCTTAAATTTTATAGTCTTTATATAATAGTTATTTCAAGGCGCCATGCAGGACCCTTCCTTATGTAACTACTTATTTTAGTTTTCTTAAACTTGTAGTAAAGTTTAAGGGTTGAAATAAATTTGTTGTTGTTGTTGTTGTTGTTGTTGTATCATACTCAGCGTATGATAGAAAATGCAATTTACTTTTGAAAACGTGTTTTATACTGTGCATTTTGTGAAATGGTTAATTGAAATAATTTTCTATGTGAAACATGAAATGACCGAACGCCCAAAGAAGGTATATGTAAAAGAAAGAATGACACGTCTATATAGGCTATATTAGTATATATGTCACGTTCCAGTAATTCTACAAGAGGACACTAATGAATGAGTGTTGGTAATCGGAAATGATCAGTCAAATCATTAAAACCAATATCAAATAATATTGGTTTTAATTTTGAAACATGGAAAGTGTTCATTTCATAATTCATAAAGAAAATTCAAACCAAATGGATGTAATCGATCAATGTCTCCTGTAGATCTCATGTATCATATTGCCGATCAGATCTAATATTCGTAGATTCCTGCCGTGAAATTTTCATAATCAAACTACGTAATATTCAGTATTCCAGCTAAGCTCGTGAATTTCACAATTGACTCGAGCAATTGATCTTGTAGGATTCGTACAGTGAAAGTTCTATAGCTGGACAGAAGAATGGAAAGCGAAAGAAAGTGTCGTTTATCGAACCTGATGAAGTGCACGTAAGGAAATTCAAACATTTTAACGAAAGTTCTTGAATTTGATAAAGTAGTGATTGGCTGGTCACCGCAGTCGTAGGAAACGAAGCATATATTAGGCTTCCTTATTACTTTATATTTAACGACTAGACATTATTTATATTTCGCGGGAGTGGCACCGAAGAGAAATGTTTTTCATGGTAAAAAGTTGTGGATCCAACCATTAGAACTTTTTTAGCCAACCTCAAATATCAATTAAAAGTACATACCCAGCCCTGGCCAAAACTTTACAAAAGGATACCATTCAGTGGTCACACGTGTCTCTTTACCACTTCAGTGAAATGGGCTCATATTCGAACAGGCCCTGACTCAATCTACTCTATTCTACTCTGAAATGGGCTCATCTCAGAGTAGAATAGACTGACCTCAGAGTAGAATAGACCTGACTCAATCTACTCTAATCTACTCTGAAATGGGCTCATATTCGAACAGGCCCTGACTCAATCTACCCTATACTCAATCTACCTGAAAATATATGAAAAGATATGATGCTTGTGATGTTTCTCTGAGTGTATATCCACACCGGGCAAGCTTGAAAACTATGCCTGACAACGGTGGGAATCGAACCTGCGACCTTTGGAATACTAGTCCATCGATTCCCACCGTGGTCAGGCATATTTTTTTCAAGCTTGCCCGGTGCGGATATACCCAGAGTAACATCACAAGCATTATATTCACCTGAGTATGTATACATTACACCAAAACAGAAAAAAATCATATGAAGAGATATGTTAGAAATGAAACAGTCGTCATCCAACCAATTTTTATAACGTACTAATCCCACTCCCTAGTTGGAGTCTGAATTAACGAACAGTTTTTTTAATCCATTTAACATTTTTTATTGAAGCAATATTCATATCGATCCGTTTTCTTGTAGGAAGCGGAAGACGAAGTGAAACATAAACCACTGGACATCAATTCCAATGGAATAAAAGGTGTCTATGCATTGGCCTACACACGCATTGGCCTACACACTTAAAAACGCACAAGTTGTAACAAACCTGCAGCAGACTTGTTGTAGCAATGCTGTTCCAACAACTGTCGACAGGATGTGTTCGCACTGCTTGTTTCCAAATTGTTGACAAGTTGTCAACGGCTTGTTGACAACTTACTACAGGGTTGTTGAGCTCAACAGACTTGTTACAAATTGTTCCAACAACTTGTTATCGCTTTGCAATTCAACAATTTGTCAACGTGTTGTGAGTGACAATCTTGTAGCAACTTGATAAAATAATATTGGCAATATTGGCATTGGCATTGACTTTCTTTTTAATTTCTTAGAAAACCGTGGGATCCTGCGGAATGGCATGCGAAAACATCATTCAAATGTAAGAATTGTAATATCAATTATTATTAGTATTATTTGTGATTTGCTACACCACACCGAGTTAATTTAAGTGAACACACATATGAATTATTTAGTATAATACATGGATAAGTAGTTGGCGAGGAGGCATCCTGAAAGCAAAAGCAAAGGCTTATAGATTGGATGTCTCCTCGTGAAGTTTTTCAAGGCACAGTGATAAATACTGTAGATAGATTACAAGTTGATCTATTATAATAATTGTATTAATATATTATTGATAAAGATGAAGAGAAGTCAGTTTATAATTGTTCTTCAGTTAAGATTGGATTAAAAAAGAAAAAAAAGGAACTTTCTAATAAGAACTTAAGCGTTCTATACTCCTGAAGCAACTGAAAGTCTCTGTTTCAAGAATATCATTTGGCAAGGAGTTCAAGATTTTGAGACCTTCATGGAAAAGAATATTGTAAACTGCTTATAGTATTTGTTTCACATGATGTTCAACGTGAATTTAGAGTCATTGTCGCTGTGTACTTGATTGCTATAGTAATGAATAAGTTGTGAAAAGATGAGGGAAGTAAACAGTGGTGATAGGAAAACATGAATTTTGCTATATCACTATGAAATGTATTAATTTTGTAAATATCAAGAGTTTTCATTTGAGTAAACAATGGTGTGGTATGCGCACGAATAACTGAATTTGTAAATGTTCGAACAAGTCTAAGCTTAATAAGGTCTCATCTTCGTTTGACCTGAGCTTACGAACTAGGTTGACTATTTTCATCCGTATTTTAATAGATCCATGGTTCTACATCAAGTAACGAGAGTAACTCATCAGTTCACGAGATCAACAGAGCGATGCAGGTGTTAGAAATACACTCACAGTTGGACGAGCGAGACCACGAGAAAAAAGAACCGCTGAAAGATAAGGAGGTAGCTGTTTTGAAAGAAATGTGCAATGTAAGTTTGGAAATCTACAATAATTTTGAAATGCATGAACGACGATATTTGGTGAGAAAAATGGACTTAAAGTTTATGTAACAGCAGGATTTTGTATCAGCATTCAAGTTCCTTCGCGGTCATGATTTTCTTTGTGTTGTCTTCATGAATTATCGACGAGAATTACAAATTTGATTGCGTTGTGTTGTGTTGTATTTCATTATATTGCCATCTCTATTGTTGTATAATTGTATTCTTTTATATTGTATTGCATTGTAAAATGATTGTATGCTATTATTTGTTTGCAATGATGTATTTTTGGGATTTCAGTTGAAGGGCAGGTATAACAAAAAAATTATTTTATAAAATTATTTAATGTATTGATCGAGTTTAGAGACAGTTTAAGACTCAAAAGATGAATTACCGTTCAGTTTGTCTTGCTACAAGTTGTTTGGTTGCCCGTCATTTGGATCAAAAGTCACGTGATTGCAAACAAAGAATTGTGTATAAGTCGTTCTCTATTGTATTCGAATTCTACCGTTTATTGTATTCCGCTGTGTTGCAACTTACGGTATTTGGGTAATCGTTCCATGTTTCGCGCACCAATATAGTAAACGTTATGTAATGGATATTATAGTGTACTGAAAAGTTAACTGAATACCTCCATACACGTATATACATACCCTAACCCTATCCCTAACCTTAAACCTAACCCTAACCCCTAACCCTAACCTAACCCTAATACCTAACCCCTAACCCTAACTTATATTGGTGCGCGAAACATGGAACGATAACCGGTATTGGTATATAGTTAACTTAAGGTGGCTCTGCGGAGGAGCGAGAGCAAGCCCGGTAAAACGCTTTTTTCATTTTTTCTTAGGTTGTCTGGAGAAAGTTGTCAAATGACGATCCGCGATCAAGCAGTGCCGCTGCGAATCACAGAGTACACGATGATGACATTGTATACGAAGATCTTTTATAGCAAAGGGGTATTGAACGCGTCATGGACATGGGCGTGGCGACCTGGGCGGGCTTTAGGGGGGGGGGGGGGGTGCAGCACGGCAGCACCCCGCGAATAAGTATTAAAAAGTTGGCCAAACAAGATTTACTGTTAGTCAAAAAATATTGATAGAAAATGCGCTGAAATTGTGATGTAAATGTATAGGTGTTTTGATTTTCTTACGAGTATGAGCGGGGCAAGCAGAAAATTAATTCTACTTGACCACGACTGGAAATCGAACCCGCGACCTTCGCATTTCTAGAACGACGTTCTACTTTCTGAGCTACAAGACCAAGTTGGGAACGATTATTTGTGATGTTAATGACATATCAGAATTTGTCCCTCCATGCCTGGTGCCAGCTATTAATCCAGCGAATGTCGTGACATCGTTCCCAACTTGGCCTTGTAGCTCAGAATGTAGAGCGTCGTTCTAGAAAGGCGAAAGTCGCGGGTTTGATTCCCAGCCGTGGTCAAGTCGAATTAATTTTCTGCTTGCCCCGCGGCTCATACTCGTAATCGATCTAGGCGTAATACTAGTTATAATGTTTACAATGTTTTGTTCGCAGGCTAAAGAAGATCAATACACCTATACGGTCACTGTGTGTACATTATTTTACTCAAGGCTGTTAGTTGATAGCAGTGCTAATGTTGCAACCACCTTGTAAAATATCAAGCATGTAGCAACTGACGCGTTTTGTGTGTATTTGCTGTTAACCAAAACCAACTGAAATAATAAAGTAACACAACCATAGAAACCTATTAATTACCAACTTTACATCTATCACAAAAACCATAAACAACGCATCATTACACGATATGACAAAAAAATTTGCACATCAGAGGCGGAAAATGGGTTTAGCCTTGAGGGATCAAATTTAGCCTGGGAACCCGAGTTTAGCCTTTAGGAATCAAATGTTCTGCAAAAGATTACAATATAATATAATTATAGGGAACTGTCTTTTTTACCTTAAATTGTTGTATGGATTATGTTCATTAAGATGCGTTGTCGTGTGAAGTAATATGTCTTTAAAGAGATGTGGTAATAAAAATGAATTTTGTCTTATGTGAAAGAAATTTTAAAGTTATGCATGAAGACCCTTTACAACTTTTTCGTACCTTGCTTGGTTTTCAAAATATTTTGACCAAAAACAGTGTGCAGTTCGCCATCCTGTTATTATAATTAACTGAGTTTTTGTTGACGTCACAAGCAGGGTAAACTTGTTAAAACTTCTTCATGTGAGACTAAATTTCTTCGAAAAGTTTGTTAAAATGTTGCGAGTTAATTGAGTACTTAAACAGGGTTCGTAGTCTCCAAGACCAAAAAAATTCAAAGACTTTCAAAGATTTTTTCTGCCTATTTTGAAAGATTTTTCAAAGACCTTTGAGAGCAAACAGCTGTCGGAAAATTGCGAGTGTATAAGCACCATTTTTACCCAGTAATTAGTCTCGTCATATCACATCCTAAAATGCGCCTTTTCGTCGATATTTGCGAAAATCTTGCTTCAATCAATCTATTTTATTAGCTAGGAAATCGTATAATCAAATACTCACTAAATAATTTAAAGACTTTTAAAGACTTTCTTCGCTTTTTCACACAATTCAAAGACTTTTCAAAGACCTTAAAGACCTGTATTCAAATTTAAAGACTTTCAAGGATTTCAAAGACCGCTACGAACCCTGTGAAAAGACTTCGGAAAATCGAGTTTCATATTGATGACGCGTGGCGTTTACCCTACTTGTGACGTATGCTATCGAATGCATATCCAAGATGGCGGAATGCACGTTGCTTTTGATCAAAATAAGTCGATTTATTTCGAAAACCAAGCAAGCGTATCTTGCTTAAAAGGAATAATTTGTAAACTACGGAAGTTTATATATCATTTTAAATGTTCTTTCAAATAAGACAAACTTAATTTATATTGCCATATTCCTTTTAAGACTGATAATTATCAATGCATACAAGATAAATCCTGAAGTAGTCATGGTAGTCTTACTGGATTAAAAACAACTTTCCTACTGCTGGCTGTGTAAATATTTTCGTTCCGAATTGTTCCGTTCTAATTTAGGTATCGAGTCAGCAGATTCATTTGGTATTCAATCATTTTAATAATCAGGTATTTACACTTTAGCAAATATGTCCTTTTCCTCGAGAAATGTTTTTGGTATTACAGATATTTTTTTAAACTTTTTTGTATACTAAAAGACTTTTGCACTACAATACAGTGTGCCGAATTTCAACATAGGTCGCCTTATAAAATAATGAGATATAGCGCACTGTTTGTTAACAAGCGGCATTTCGAATGACGTCAGCAATTCACAAGCACAATGGCGCAAGATGGCGTGAGCAAGTCGTTAATAGAGAGGTTAAGATACCTCGGTTCCGATTTACGGGTACGAGTATCGCCATTTTGTTTAGCAATTTTTGCTGATGTCAGCATATTTACCCGTAATTTCTACCCGTTTCCCCGCGGTAAACCAAGGTCTACACGTAAAAGACGAACGGGTACGGGTGTTTTCTGTTTACTATTTGTGGGCCGGTTAAATAGTAAAAATTTTCAACATCTTTCTTACCTGAATAAATATGCATATGCTCGTCAAAGTTTTCAACAATTTATGCGAACCTCAACAGCGAAAGTTACCATTCTCTGATTGGTTTTCGCACGTCGCAATATCTTGGATTTCTTAAGTTACAAGTCGTTCCCCGATTTGCGGGTACGTGTATATCACCCGTACCCGTAAACCGGGGTATCTTAACCTCTCTAATATTCACAAGGGCACGAAGGGTCACGCGGGTTGTTTATATGGCATAACATTTTGTTTGCGCGATTCTTGCATAACGGATTTTGTGTGGATATATATATCAAGCCACCATGAACGTAGCCTGCCGCACACGAGAGCAACTTGCTGAGCTAACCGCCTCGCGTGGCAGCTAGGTCAGCAAGTTTCTCTCGTGTGCGAATAGTTTTCGTGAGGATTTGACCTCTCGAGGCCTTGAGGAAAATATCTATCGTGTTTGATATTTTCACCTCGTGAGGAAAAAGTCTCGACATCTGCGGATGTTGCGAGCTTAGTGGTGAGCTGTTTAAATCAATTAGCCAATGAGAAACCATAGTTTCTTCGTGTGACTTTGAACACAATGGAAGAAAATGCAAACGAATTTGTCAATTATGTTGTTGTTGAGAAGTTTTCCCAACGTGTGCGGCGAAAATACATAGCTGAGCTAGCCGCCAGGTGAGGCGGTTAGCTGAGCAAGTTTCCCTTGTGTGCGGCAAGCTTAATCGCTTTCTTGCTCAAAATACAAAACAACGATATTTTTTTCAAACATTTTGTAAAACTACTTGGTAGTTCCTGTAAGATTTGTTGCTTCAAAGAACAACTATCTTTCCTATTTCATGAAATTATTCAATTACAAGAATTCTGGAGTAACTTGAGAAAAATTTATACTATTGTGAAAATAATAAAAACTTAATTTGTTTACAAGTACTTCGTTGTAATAGCATTTACACTACAGGGTATAAATTTTACCGCATCCAGCCTCCCCTACCCATCGGGTGGTTGTTAGGTGGTCTGTTATAACCAGTTGTCCGCCAGTTAGGTATGTTATTGCCAGACACTGGTGGTGGTCCCGCATTGTTCATTCCAGCTCGGGGTAACATCGAGATAGGAGGGGGTTGTTGATGATGCATGGCTGGAAAAAGTTTATGTGGAGGAAGAGGTGGGCGTTGGCCGTACGTGTGACCCGATGGTTGTTGGTGGGATTCCAGCGAGGGGTGGGTTTGCATATGCGAGGGTAGGGGTTGAGTTTGTATATGAGGCAGTGGGGGGCGGACATGGATTTGTGAGGGTGGGGGTTGGGTGTGTATATGAGGTGGTGGTTGTGTTTGAATACCATGAGTAGGTAGGGGTTGAATAAGATTGGGAGGGGGCTGGGTCTGCATGAATGATGGTGGATGATGGGCGTGACTTTGAAGTGGCGGTGGGGGCTGGGTAAGATTTTGAAGCGACGGCGGTGGTTGGTGTAAGGGTGGGGGTACACGTGCAAAGGTTTGTCCAAACCCAGTGGGATTCTGCACACCTACCAAACTAGTGGGTGGTACAAGATTAGGGGGCGGTAGCAGTGTTGACGAGCTTGAGGAAGCTGGTATTGTAGAGTCTGTCGGAGGCGGGATACCAAATGGAATGGGACTGAATGTACCACCAAGGTACGCACTATGTGGTATAACTGGATTGACATACGGTACGGTTGATTGCACCAGAGGACTAAGAACCTGAGAAGGTATGGTTGATGGTAGGGTGTATGATGCAGTTTTAGCAAGACCATCTGAAGTTACCACAGGGCTTATATTTTCGACCGATTGGAAACCTGCACTAGTTTGAACTGTGTTGGTAGAAACTACTTGATTGGTGTTGGCTGACACAGCCGTAAATGAGGGTGGTGGTGGAGCTTTCGATCCTAAAAGGAGAAGAATGAGCTGCTTCAGATCGATTCAGAAAGGAAATAAACAAATTCGGCGAAAGCGTGTGTTTATATGGACTGCCCGTTTCAGGCCCTAGCAAATGTTATTCTACTGTGATTGATTTTGATTTCAAATGTGTTTTAATGCATATACTACCCAATACACTCACATATAAAATTTGAAAGTTAGTTACTTTTGTTCCAGTGTATGTTGGCGTAAACCGGTTCAATTGTTTTGCGTGCATTGGGTTGGGTTGGGAACCACTCAAAACAGAAAGGAAGAAGGCTAAAGCAAAACTGATGTATAAAAGATTAAATAAAATGGGTCCCAAATCACTCAAATCTATTTTCATATAAATGTAAGAAAACAAACAGTCACCTTCGGGAGATTTCAAGTGGTCTTTTTTTACCAAAACCTCGTACCAATAACATGGAAAATATAGTTTCATGTATGAAGGCGCAAACCTTTGGAATTTTATTCCAAAAGAAATTAGGAAAAGCAAACCACTTTCTTCCTTTCCAAATAAAACGCTGCTTACATCTATATTGTAACTGTAAATAGTTTACCAACTTTCTCATTAGACATTAATGTTACTATTTTAATACAAAAATAACATGACATTGTATAAATATAAAATTCCGAAGTACACTTTACAGTATCTAGTAATTATTGCATGTTGTAATTTCGATACTTTTTTGAACAAAATAAATTCATTCATACAGTGTGTATGAGGCAATTTAAATAAACGAAGTTTGTTGGTATAATCAATCCCCAGGGCTTTGGTCGTAAGACAGCACTTGCCTTGCGATAGTAACTTCTAGTTTAATACTATATTTTGTGTTCAATGTGTAGATCACAGTAAACTTTTTTAATGTGTTTATTGCATCAGCAAACGACGTTTCTGAGACGCACTCCATCTTCAGGTAGATAAGATTACCATTTAGAATTGTAATATTGTAATCTTATCTATACCTGAAGAGGGAGTAAATCTCAGAAACGTCGTTTGCTGATGTAATAAACACATTAAAAAGTCATGCTGTGGTTTATACCATAGATATCTTATATACACTAGATAGAGCATCTAATTATTCTGCAATTCAAAAATTGAAGCCGTGATTGCAGACTCAGGATATCCCATGAAATGAGAAGACTCGTATGTTTTGTATTTCTTAAACAGGGAACTTAAACATTAAGTTAAACCTATTCCAAATACATTTTCAAACTATTCAAATGATGAAAGTTATTGTTATTTTTTAAGCGTTTATTAGCGAGTGGGAAACTCCAACATGGCCGACATCTATTCAAATGGGGGTAACCGCTGGAATATTCTTGGCTTCAATTTTACTAAAAGAGATGCGCTATCTAGTGTATATAAGATATCTATATGGTTTATACATTCAACACAAAATTAATATATTATTAACATGAGGCTCAAAAGAGAAAGTTCGTTCTTAAATATTTTAATACGCATTAATATAAATGTTACTATTTTAATACTCTATATAAGTAAGAAAACAAATTCCGAAAAGACAAGACATCTTGAGAATACAATATATGATTCAAAACAATTAAGGCGCGGGTTGAGACTATAAATTTTCGACTTTATTTCAAAGTCATCTTCAGACAGAATCAATTCTGTCTGAAGATGATTTTAATATTCTATATCTTTTAAAACTTATATATTTTGTAAATGTAGCTCTAAATATCACTAAGTCTTTCTTGTACACGTAAAAAATTGTATTTATTTCTTGGCACGCGCCCCTCGTGGAAATCAGCTTCGATTGACGGGGTCAGCGTGTATAAATAATATTACTCTATCATTAGCTGTTTAGGTATATTTTAAACAATGCCCTCTCACTTCTTCAATTCAAATATATACAATACACGAATAATATATGTATACCTGGTTTTGCAGATGCAGGAACTGGCGTGGATTTTCCTTCTATATCTTTATTTTCAACTCTCTATTTAGGGAGAGTAAAAATATATTAAAAAAGGACACACATTTGTCTACCTTGGTATGCCAGATTAAAAAAAGTATAGAGAGACAGCTGTGGATGGAAGGGATCGCAATTCTGCTTATAGTTGTATGTCCCTCGATCCACAGCTGCAGGGCGTGAAATAACGGCTGGATGGTCGCTGGTCAAGATGACCGGCCAACTCAATTTTAGCTCGGACATGCTTAAAGCAAAGCAAAGCCTAGTAAAGTATACCAGTATAGCACTACAAAAAGCCTGACTGTAATCAGTAATTCAAAAACTCCTTCTCATAAAACAGCTTGCACTGCGCTAAAAGCATGGCCTTAACTCTTAAGCCAAAAGGATGGCCATGGGCTTTGTGACGTACTGCGTGGAAAAAATGGCAAATTGAAGTTCTTTTCCCGCAAAATTTTCGACAACATGTTATGGTTCTTAATCATAATACTTAACTTTATTTTGATTATTAATTGAAATGAAGATAAGTTTGTTCTTTTACCAAAATTGTTCTTTTACCATTGTCCGTTAACCGGCCGTTATTCCGCGCCCTGTTATCGTCGCTATCTACACTGTATGGCACCGACCGTCAATGACGAACACTGCACATAATTCGATAAATATTCGACTCAAAAAGAAAAAACGATATTTTACCTTTTTCTTGAATGGTGGACTGTTCGTGACAGATGGGCTCGACTGACTTGAGGAGTTGGGTGGACTTGGTTCGACTTTCTCACTGAGACTTTTCTTTTGCGGTTTTTCTTTCTTTGCGGCACCGTATAGCTCCAGCATTTCGTTGCAAATTTCTGATTTACAATATCACAAATTAAAAAAAACTCGCTCACTTTAATTACTCGCTCACAATGCTTGCCTTTCAAGCTGAGAGACCGGAGTTCAAGCTTTGGTCGCACCTTTACTCAAGGTCTTAAAATAATTGAGGAGAAAGAGCTATATGTACCTTTAAACTGACATCGGAAAATGGTTAGACTTTCACGTCTTCTCAGATAAGGACGTTAAATCGTAGGTACAGTATCTGGGATCCCCTATTAAATGGGCGATAGCCTGCTGGGAAATCCTCTTGTCAATGAGTGAGAAACTGAAGAAACTGCATTTTACTTTCTGCATTGAAAATTTTTTGCGAATAATCAAGTGAATTGACACTCGAACGCTGTGACTGTGCAACACTAACAAGTTACCAAACTTGTTTATTAACATGATTACCTTGCCCTATTTCTTGGTTTCAGTGTAGCCCCTTTGGAGTCGACTGCTTGAGTTTTGCAGTGTGCACAGTATATGTATAAATTTGTATATTTGGGGTCCATGTAGTGGCTTTGTCCTATATGTAGTAATATATTTAAAGTAATTACGGGGAACACCTTGCATGCATGGGACTTCTTGTCCCGTTTGTCTTCTTCCGTTTGAGTTTATCTACTAATCGTGTTGAAGAGCCTATTTGTCAGTTTGTTTTTTGTAACATATGTGTCGCACGATATTTATTGTTTAGTCACATAGTAGAATGTTTTAAATGTTGTCATGCTATATTTTGACAGAAAAAAGTCAATTTTAGCACACTGAGAAAATTTTGAAAATCAGGTACCTAAAAATACATTTGTCATACAACATTTGTTACATCATTCTACAGTCTATACATTTATACACTATTAAGATAGATGCACTTATAATTGCATTTCTGAGGCCATACCTACAGTAGCTTACAGGTATGCTTTCTATTGGTTAGAATTTTTCCTCTGATTTTTCCTTTTATCTAAAGTTTTAAAATTATCTTTTTTTCCTATCTTGGGAAAATATTTTCTGGGAAATCAAAAAATTTTCTGGGACCAATGGTCACGGGGTCCGCTACCTTTTCCAACCCTGTTTATACAAGCCAGGGCAAAAAAAGACAAAATGAACAAGTAGTATACCTTCAACAACTAGCTCCTGACATTCCTTGTTAAAGCTATACCACCAAGGCTTGCTGGATGGAGAATCTGTTGATGCTTTCAAATCAAAATTAGCCAGCTTCCCTGCCAAGTTCAAATGTGCAACTGCCAAAATCTCAGGTCGCTTTCTTAAACTGAGACTGGTCGCTAAACTATAGGTGAAAAAGTCACAAGTATGTCGTCATGTAAGCCAAAATAATTTCAAAAAGGTTCTTATATTCATTTGAATTGTGAACAAAATTTATACCTGTCATTTACAAACGTCCATGCCATTTGAACCAATTTTTGAATTTTCCCTTTATCTCCTAAACGTGCACATAAAAACCCATCCAAACCATTAGAACTCAGTCGTTCATACATTGCATACACTATTCAAGGCACTCCCCATCATGCCATTTCAGTGACCGATTACATCAATATTTTTTTTATCAGACTGTTGTATCAAGAATCTCTGGCTTCGGCGAGTTGGTGAACCACACTAGCTGTGTAATCGACCTTAAATAACTTATAGTACTGTTACATACAGGGTAGAGTATATATATTGTTACCAGTACAGTAGGTCACTTTTCTCCCACTCCTAATTTTGGAAGGATACTATACTTTCTTCCCCTATAGAGAATTTGCAAATTGGTGTTGCAATTCAAAATAATTTTAATTAGACTCTTTTGTCTGGGACACCAACATGGACGCCATAGCGTTTGTTGAGTTGGTCCCTGGGGAATGAGTTGGTCCCTGGGGAACACTCTATTAGGGTACAGTCTGAAGAATAGTGAATACGTCTGGAGGCACTTTTCACCAGTGACAAAGCTCAAACTCAAGACAATAATTGTTCTGTCATGCTATTAGGTACAGTAATGCTTAGTCGGAGGGCCACGCTCCCGAAAATTTTTCAACATTGAAAGTCCATTCCACTAATTTTTGGAGTGAAATTCATGCACAAAGAACACAATTGTAGTAACACAATTTTCTATTCCCATAAACTTTAAACTTATATTATATTTCACTCCTCTCTCACTTTCCATGCACATTCTATCATTTTTGGTCGCCAAAAATCCTGACGTTTTTCACCCCACCCCCCCAAAGGGTGGAGGAAATGGTGATCATATACAGGCTAGGTTATCATATGTATAAGGGGCGAGGCGATATCAGTTTTATCGTTTGAAAGGCCGATATCACAAGTTTTTAAAGCTATTGGATACTGCCTAAGTACTGGCCACTGCATGGGTATACTGCTTCTTGGATATCATCCTGAAAATGATACAAATTGATGTCGCCTCGTCCGGATTATGACAACATTTTATTATATACTTGCATGTGCCTTCATCAGGGTCACAATTTATTAAAATATTAATCACTGCCCCAAGGTAACAATTGTTAAAAAGGGGCAAAAAAAAATCAGTGATAAAAAAAATCACTAGACTGACAAAAAAGATACCAATGACATAACGTTTTTACATCACCCTGTTATTGCCCTGATAAACGTACAGTACAAGTACATAATTATGTGATAAACTAATTTATATACCAACGAAAATTACTAGTTTGGATAGTCTCATCCAAATGGGTCTTGATCATTCTTTCACCTGTACTATTAAAATCAGGGTGCGATAATTCGCGTACCAACGTATAGTATACGGAGGTATACGCCATGTACAACGTATAGTATACGGAGGTACGTATAGTATACGGAGTTATACTTAAAAATTACGGTCTGGTACTTCTTTGTTTTTAGCCGAGTACCACGTAGGTACACGAGAATTTGCTATTCACGTACTTACATTTTCCTTCTAGCAATAACTAGCAAACCTTCCAAGGTATTCAAAACCGTCAATAACGTTAGCTGTATACAGTACATGCAAATTCCACACATCCAACATATTTTCGGATCAAACAAGGTTGTTAACTTTGTTATCTGTGTTTTTTGGCGTTTACGTATAGTGGACGCTATATGCTATCGACTGGAGTGAAATAATTCTCGAACATTTCCGAATTACGCTTGTTAACGCTATGTCCATGAATGGTTCGATGGGGTTAGGCTGTTAGCACCCTAGGTAAATATACTGTAACTGAGCGATGGCATTCGAGTTGCAACAACGAAAATTGTTATGTCGTACAAATACCATTAAAGATTTGTTTCTACAAAATTGTCCATTGTTTTTGCTTTTAGACCAGTAAACCATTCAATGTGATTATAAACGTTTTAGGCTGTTGGAAATCATGACTAACTAAATGAATAAATGTGGAGAGTTTTATGTGTGATATATTGCGTTAAACGCATTTATTAAATATATAAAATTCAGAAAGTTTTAAACGTATGTGTAAAACGCAAAACTTGGAAGTAGCCTTAGGTACACCTTGACTCTTAAGTTTGCACCAGCTCAAGTACTGCGGCAAAAATTAGTCCAGAGTACCAGTCAGGTACGGCTAAAAATATTGAATTATCGCACCCTGATTAAATAATATTATTTCCCAATCCAAAACTTTAAAATAAATGGCACACAATACCTTTTAACAATTTTCCAATTTTCAAAAGGATGCTATATGGGTGTTCAACTTGAAGATCAAATTTAATTGTCTGCAACAAAACTCGCTCGTATATCATAACCTCCTCCTAGAAGTAAAAAATAGTAAAACTGAATTGACACTGACCTATGACCAAACGTGGAAAATTGTTTTTCTCTTCCGTGGAACCTAGGTTTAGCGCTCAAAATGTTTTGCAAAAGATTACAAAACATACTAGGTAAAAATAACAAAATTGTCGCTTGCAACTGTCTTTTTACCTTACATGGATTATGTTCTTTAAAGCAATGTTTCTTTAAGACTGATAAGTCTTAAAGTCAGGGGCAAAATGTATGCGTATTTTGTTTTAAACACAAAATTACTGTACATAAACTAAGCAGTAATTAACAACCTCTGCGTGACAAGCATTTTTTAACATGATTGTGGACTCGTATATTTTGCAACTACGTGTACAGGCGGGAATTTGATTCAAAACAATGACAAATAAACAAAGGCAAGCCGCTGCAAAAATCGCAGAAGAAGACAGTTTTTCCATGAGATGTCTATGTTAAACCAAAGTGTAGCTATTTGGCAATTATATATATCATGTTTCTTCATGTAATGGACCCTACGTCGTCTTCGAGAAATCTTCCGACCGGTGCAAAAAATATTCTGTTTTCGTAAAAACACCAAAGCGATAGGGTTTGAAGAGTTCATATTGTCAGAAAACATTCACAGGGAAGATAGCGATTGAAAATCCCAGGAAAGCATTGCTTTTCATTATTGTTTTTTTGAAAAATGTTGTTCACTCCTATACAAGCGCCATTTTAACTACATACGTTTTAACTGCAGTTAACACTACAGTAACTATATTTTTTATACGACTCAACGTGTGGTTAAAGTTAACCATTAGGCTATGTGAATATTTTCGTTCCAAAATGTTCCGCTGTAATTTAGGTATCGAACTAGCAGATTATAATTAGGTATTCAATCACTTCAATAATCATGTGTATTTAGTAATTTTGATATTTAATCAACAGGTCTAATATCAATCATAGCTACTGTACCTCGAAATCCTTTGCCTCGCGAGATGCAATTAATAACTAATTTACCTATCACTAAAGCATGAGGGCCAATTAGAAACTAATCAACCCACAGGACGATTAGTTACTAATCGTCCCTTATCTTTATGCATACTGTAACCTCTTATATTGACGTTCAAAAAGACATGAAAAATCAACCGTAACCTCATTAACGAACATCCCAATAGTCATTAGTATCAAAAAGCAAATGCTCCTTTTCATTTCAACTTATTCAATTGAATGAATTTGTTTTATTGTCTCCGTAGCTATGATATTACAAAGTGATAGCATGGCATTCAGGTCGAGTAGTGATGAAATGTCCCTCAAGCTTCAAGAGGTTTAGTAAAAGTCTACTTTTATTAAACCTCTCTCTGCTTTCGGGTGCCGTGCTATGTACTTATATTATTTAATGTTAATAATTTTCAGAATCATCTATCTGACATTAAAACATTGTCTGTGAAAATTTCTGGCTAACAACTTCAACTTTTGTTAACCCCCTTAACTGGCAACGTGTGCCAAAGCACTCAACTTTGCTATTTTACCACATACTGTATGTCTAATGCCAGACGGTTGGTTATATTATTTATAAATTCTCATACTGTACCCGAGGATTTTCCCCAAACAATCGAAAATGATGATCCGGCAACATCTTCTTGGCAACCGTTATGATATCTCGACATTTTTTTGGCGTCTCTTCTACTTTTCCAGCAAGAAACAAGCAGGCACAAGCGGTTACCTATAACATGCAGAAAGTTCTAATTGGTATATTAAACCAATATACCATGTTGCATTGCACCCTACTTTACTATTTGGAACAAGCTGTCAACTACTTTTCCAAGCTTGATTGCATTACCAGATTTGTACAAGGTTGTTCTAACAAGTCTGATACAGTCATGACACAACAAGAATGTTACAAGGTTGACGACACAAGGTTGTGATACTCATGACTGGATTTTGGGTGCGCACCTCCCCTGAGATCGTTTTGCACCTCCCCTGAAAAGTTGAAAGTGAAAATTTGACATTTTGTGTTGCTTAGGATCTACAAATGTTAAAATTAAAACAGTCATGATAGCCATTCATTTCTGTGTCAAGTAACCTTCTAATGCAATGTTCTGAAAGAAACTTTGTAGTAATTGTAATAAAAAGCAAAATTGGATGAGTTGTGCAGTCATAATTCATTAATTCACTGATACATGTAACGCTAAATGCATACGTCACGTTGTTGACTTTGGTCCGTTCTAAGCCCTAGCTTTCCAGGGGGGGAGCTAGACTGCTGTACCTCCCTTAATTTTTCCCACCTCCCCCACTATTTCCACCAAAATCTGGCCTAGGTATTTGTTATATCATGACTGTATCAGACTTGTCAAACTTGACGTAGCAAGGTTGTTCCAACAAGTCTGATACAGTGACGATATAACAATGTTGTTACAACCTTGTGTCGTCAACCTTGTAACATTCTTGTTATATGACAACTGTATCGGACTTGTTGAAACAACCTTGTAACAAAAGTCTGATAATACCATCAAGCTTGTAATAAGTTGTTAACAGGTTCTTCCCAACTTTTTACAACGACTGGGAACAAGCATTGCAAACACAACTTGTCAACAGCTTGTGGACAGATTTGTAACAACTTGTTTGCAAACCTTTAACAAGTTATACATTTTTATGTTCAGTGAGCAGAATTATGTTGAAGTACAGTATAGTTAATTAAAACACGTACCCATCTTGGAAATGTTTTGAATGACTGTTTCATGTAAAATCTGTGAAAATAAATCACGCCGGTGGCCATAGTATCATACCGTCTAGTTTTCAGTTAAAGACAAAATCTTACCTGTAGAAGATTATCGAGATTTTGTTTAAACTTTAGGGGCCGTCAACAAATAGATTTTGTCTACCGATCGCAGACTTGTTCCGCGATTGCTTCAACCCCCTCCCCCATCCTGATTATGTTGTACTCGCGGATTCAAGGCTGACCACCTCCCCACATCGCAGAACAAGTCCGTGATCGGCGGACGAAATCTATTTGTCGACGGCCCCTTAGATGAATTGCACTGCGGACCAACATGACGGCGGACTAAGAAAAAACATTGTGCTAATTTTTTTTTTAAATTTTACTTTGTCCGTTGTCTGAGAAAAATTGATAAATGTCCGACCAATTTTTGGCTTCACAACAGGACAGACATTTGATTTGTCCATCCAAGTATAAAAATAATTGTTTGCAGACCTGTGGAAGTCACAAATATTAAATGAAATAGCCCATTTCAACGTTATTACCAAGTCTCATTCTCAAATTGACAATATGAGAGTCAGTAGAAAATTTAACAACATCAAAAGGATACAATCCCAGTTTGTTTCCCATGTCCATAATAAATCGACAGCCCTCACGCCTGTATCGACATTCCGTTGGAAAATCAACGCCATTTGCACGCGATGGAGTGCGTTTCAAAAGCCTATCTTTTGAGAAGTACCATTTAACCATCGTAGTAATAATAATTTTCACACAGCGAAAAGTTCTATCTCTTAATTTTTGCCAAAAATCAACAAAATACGAGTTAATTTTTCAACACATGTTTAATATCTGGCGGCCATATTTAGTCACCAGGACTTTATCGATACTCGATGATCGGTTAGCACCACTGAGCTATACTATATTACTGGAGGACCTGCTCCTATATCTATGACCTGCTCGGGATAAAAAAGGGTGATCGCTAGATAGTATACTTCAAAATAAGGTTTCCGTTTTTATAACGTAGAAAAAACTATCCTAACGCAAAATTAAACCCTAACCCTAATACTAACCCTAATACTAACCCTCACCCTAACCCCAACCTAACCCTAAATTATTTTAAAAATTGATATAAAAATGGAAATCTTATTTTGAAGTATACTATCTAGCAATTGCCGATAAAAAAGTGTCCGCAAAAACCAAAAAAACATGGCGGATCTGACGCCATTGCCATGACTACTGGTCCCTAGATTGGTAACGGGTCCATGTCTCGCTGAAACCTATTCTATCCTTTATTATCCTTAGCCTTGTAATCTTGTAATCCTTGTAATCTTGTCATTCTTCTAATCCTTCTAATTTTCTAATTCTTGTAATCTTGTAATCTTTGTAATCCTTGTAATCTTGTAATCTTTGTAATCTTGTAATTGCTGTAATCTTGTAATTGCTGTAATCTTGTAATTGCTGTAATCTTGTAATCCTTGTAATCTTGTAATCCTTGTAATCTTGTAATCCTTGTAATCTTGTAATCCTTGTAATCTTGTAATTGCTGTAATCTTGTAATCCTTGTAATCTTGTAATTGCTGTAATCTTGTAATCCTTGTAATCTTGTAATTGCTGTAACCTTGTAATTGCTGTAATCTTGTAATTGCTGTAATCTTGTAATCCTTGTAATCTTGTAATTGCTGTAATCTTGTAATTGCTGTAATCTTGTAATCCTTGTAATCTTGTAATCGCTGTAATCTTGTAATTGTTGTAATCTTGTAATCCTTGTAATCTTGTAATCTTGTAATTGCTGTAATCTTGTAATCCTTGTAATCTTGTAATTGCTGTAATCTTGTAATTGCTGTAATCTTGTAATTGTTGTAATCTTGTAATTGCTGTAATCTTGTAATTGCTGTAATCTTGTAATTGTTGTAATCTTGTAATTGTGTAATCTTGTAATTGTTGTAATCTTGTAATTGTTGTAATCTTGTAATCCTTGTAATCTTGTAATTGCTGTAATCTTGTAATTGCTGTAATCTTGCAATTGTTGTAATTTTGTAATTGCTGCAATCTTGTAATTGCTGTAATCTTGTAATTGCTGTAATCTTGTAATTGCTGTAA